TATATATATATATATTAGATAGATAATTTTGTCTCAAAAACAGGTTTTTTTTGTTAACAAAACGCGAACTTTCAAACATCTGACGTAACTGCTTCCTCTCTCCTGTGTCATTTTAGAGCATTCTGATAAATTATGTTGTAATCTCAATTTTACTCTTTTCATCCACTGAAACATCACGACTAGCTCTTCAATATTTTTGACCTGGTTTTTCAACCTTTTACATTGTATGAAGGGATAATACAGGTACGTGTTAGAGTTCTTGATTATCAATCAAGTTTCACGGATTTGATTCTTTGGTCTGAGTACTAATGCTTCTTTTTATTTTATGTTGTATTTTCACATCAATTAGGAGGACCTGTAAGTTTCATTAAGGGTAATGCTTTAAATTTGTATCCTTAAGTAAGCGAAGTCCTCAGTTTGACAGAAAATTCGATCAGAAAATTTCCCCGGATTCATTGAAATCGAAGAAAATTTCATGAAATTGGGTTTTTTTTTCCAGTTTGAAACTGAATTTTAGAAATATATTTTTTTGATTTGCTCTCTTGTGTTTTTAATTGAGGTACAATACCTGTAGTGTATACCCAAATAAATGAATTATATAATTTAAATAAGATTGAAATGTTTAATATTTGGGCATAACTAATTGGCATAGTGTTGGGCATATTTGGGCATAAATATATTTTCATATTCATTTGTAGTATTATTTTATCATCATTGACATGTTGTAAAAACAATCTTTTGGTGAGATACTTGAAGTAAAATAAAATGTCTGAAACATTTCATCTATCTAAAAAACTACAGGATTTTCAATTGAAAAAAATTAACAGATTAAAGAATTAATATAATAATTCTAATTTAAAAATAAGCTTGATATAGTTAAGCTTATTATAAATTGCTTAAATTTTAAAGGCAGTACTATGTGCTTGTAAAAGCCCATATTATAAAATTTCGACATTATATTTAAAAAAAAAATTACTAATATAAAAATTATATTAAATTAAAGACAAATATTTATTTATTAAAAACATGTCTTGAGAATTTGAGAAAACAACACATTATAGTTTTTCCTTTACCATTTTAAAAATGTTAAAAATTGTGGAATATAATAAAAAAAAATAATTTGATGCTGTTGAGAATAACATTAATATTATTTTGACCTTATTTTTCCGAATTAAAAAATACTGTTTTTATAACAATAAGTTATAAGCAGTGCATCTCATGCTTCAAGAATGCTGCTTCAATTTTGAATATTTTTGCAATTAGAATACAAAAAAAATAGTTTATGCTGTAGAAAAACTTTACTCATAAGTTAAGAAAGCAAATGAAAAATATTAAATGCAAATTTTAGTGAACTATTCCTGAACAATGAGAAATAAATTAGTTCAGAATGAACATGTTTGAGAACTTTTCTGTCCAGCTATTGCAAGAAACTAATTTAAATTCTCTTTATTCGTAACAAATATTTAAAAATCCTACACATTTTTAGAAATAAATGAATGTTTCATCACGTGACAAAAGTCTCTCTTAGTTTCTTTTTCATATTTCATATCAGGAAATCATAATAAATTATTCCAATAAACAAATTTTATACAGTCTGAAAACTGTGAATGTCTTTTCAAAATGTATCAATTGTGCATAGTATAAAATAAATTAGTTTGACATTTCGTAACTAACTCATTTTTAATAAATGATGTCAGTATCCTATTTCATAACTAATTTTTAATTATATTTCGTTCGAAACGTATTTCAAATTAAATTGTAAAATATACTGCATCGTTATAGAAAATTTTTGTTTCTTATAGTTCAGTCTGCATTCTTATTAAAATTTAAAGGTTCAGTTTTGAAACTTTCGATTGTTTATCTTAAAAAACTAATAATAGTTTTGTTTTGCATCTCATTTTTGATTTTTAACTTTCAAATTAACAATTATAGTAAACTATATCTGAAAAGTACAATTTCAGAAAGTATGATTTATTTATTTTTGTTCTACTCAGAAAAAAATGTGGTACAGTACCTATCTGAATTTGGTGTTGAAAAACTTAAAAAATTGCGCTAATTAATACTTTATTTCAATCTAATTCCGAATAGAACGTTCATAGATACGAATTTAGTTAAATTGTTTGTTTAAATCTCGCACGCTGCTGAGCATTTCACAGTAACATAGGTTAACTGTTATAAAAGCATGCATGTTTCTTAATTGTTTATTAATTGTTATTAATTGTTTATTAATTATTATTAATTGTTAATTAATTATTATTAATTGTTAATTAATTATTATTAATTGTTTATTTATTATGTTCTCATATGAATATTTAAGTAAATCTGTAAATTATATTAAATACTTTTAGAACATTTAGCTTCTGTTTTGTTAAGCCTAATTCAAAAACACCTAAATATTCTCACTGTGCTGTGTGTAACAACATGATTAACAAACCAATTTTACTTTAAGAATTTATGTACATTGAAAAATTTCTCGGTCAATAGTTGTCAAAATTTTTGGTGTTGAGATAAACTAAAAGTTTTGGAGTGTATGCAGTCACAATTTTATTTACTTTCTCATTGTTATAGTTTTAATTATTTATTTATTCATTTCTTGCGTGCCTGTTTATTAATAACACATATTTTCAGGCGAATTAAAATCGATTTAAAAGCTCAATTGTAAAGGCATTACATTTAAAAAACCAGCGCAATTTTAGTAAAATAATCACACTAATTCTTTCAAACAAATGTAATTCTTCTAATTGTATAAAACTTATTGCACGATAACAATAGTTCGGTATTAAAAAATGTATTGGAAACTAAAATATAAAACCATTGAAAATACATTTTTAAGCACCGAACTGTAGTTATCGTGCAAGAAAATTATTTAAAATTGACAAAGTAACAATTTTTTTGAATAAATTAGTGTAAATATATTTCTAGAAGTGTGCTTGCTTTTTAATCTAAATGTTTTTGCAATGAAGCTAATGCATTGATTCTAATGCTCATAAAAAATAAGTAAACACAGCAAAAATGAATAAGTAAATAAAAAAACTCTATAACAGTGAAAAGTAAATAAAAAATGTGACTATAAGTAGTGTAAAAAGTTTTAATTCACCTCAGCACCAAAACTGGTGGCAACTACTCTACATCAATTTTTACAGGGTATATTTGCATCCTAAATTAATGATTCCTACGTAACTTTGTATCGTAAAAATAATTTTAACGACGTCTTTGTACATCAATTCTTACAGTAATTGCAAATTTCAGTGTGACTGAATAACAAATATGGTTGCAGCTACTTTACACTAAGCAGTGTAAAAGAACATTATAGGAGTTTCATAACACCTGAAATGGGTTTGATTAAATAAATAATAGCAAGAAATGGAAGCGATAATACAGGGTTATTCATAATTCCCTCTGGGGTTTCGAAGCGTTATAGTAAAAAAACGAAGACGAATATGGCAACAAAAAAAACGTATGATATTATTCCGAAAGTATTGAAGTTTTAATTTACGCAGTTGCCGGTAGATGGCAGTAATATGTACCACTGAAGCCAGTTGTAGTAAAGAAAAATGGCGTTTACAAGCGGAAGGAGTTATGAATTAACCCTGTATATTACCTGGTTGAAAACTTCATGCGCTTCAAAAATATGCAAAAATGAAATGACAATATACGTTTTTCAAGCGCATCAAAATTAGGTTCCCATATTCAAGACTTGACAGGCGTGAATTTAACGAATGGGCTCCTATGGATAAACAAAAAATAGGCGTCTTGAAAATGAGTGACTATTTTTGATGCGCTTGAAACTGTCGACTGTCATTTCATTTTTGTATAATTTTGAAGAACGTGAAGTTTTTAATCAGGTAATAACTTTGGCTTCCTTTACAATTTAAAATCCTGTTGTACACATTTTCTTCAGAGTTTTATGCAGCATTTTCCTCCATAAATTCGTAAGATGAACTATGAATTTATAGTAAAAAAAATATATTTCTTGTATTGCCAGTACATTTTAACGGGTAAATATTAGTCTTTTTTAAATTTGTTATTTCACTTAACAACAGGGAGAGTAGTGTACTACTCTCCCTGTTTTGGATTAGTGGATAATTTTTGCAGTAAGTGATAAATATTTTTTTTCAATGGCGGACACTTGGAGGTTGTCCCATTTGCCACAGAAATGCCAGAACTGCTACTCTCTTCTCGTTACCCAGTGGGCACCTGTGGCGAAGCCACGGCGGTGGAGCAGCGTCACCCACGTCACCACACAACCACAAACATGTTTATAGGGCGGGTCACAATCACACACAAAGGAGAAAGGACTTGGAACACACAGAGAGAAAGAAATATCCATGCCCTGAGCAGGATTCGAGCCCGCGACCAGCGGCTCCGCAGTCAGGCACGCTAACCACTCAGCCATCAGGTCGGCAGTGATAAGTATATGTAGTTGATATCTGTAACGACTGGTAATATCTGCAGTCTTGGTGATTATTTCAGGTTTTCAAAGAGTGTCAATTCGTAGTGTGTTAATAACATAATATGCTTCATTTGTCAACTTAAAGATTTTTGAAAATAGAGTAATAAATGTTTTGTTTTTAATTCGGAAATAACGTCAATTGTTAAGATTTAACACAGTTTATTTTATTTATTTTAGGTTTACACTCCAACGGGCTTTGAGAGATATACGGCAACATACTGTGTTGTAGACTACAGAATTCACTTCACCCTTTGGGACACTTCAGGTATTTAAAACTACTTTTANCTCTTCTCGTTACCCAGTGGGCACCTGTGGCGAAGCCACGGCGGTGGATCAGCGTCGCCCACGTCACACAACCACAAACCCGTTTATAGGGCGGGTCACAATCACACACACAGAGAGAAAGAAATATCCATGCCCTGAGCAGGATTCGAACCCGCGACCAGCGGCAGCTCCGCAGTCAGGCACGCTAACCACTCAGCCATCAGGTCGTCAGTGATAAGTATATGTAGTTGATATCTGTAACGACAGGTAATATCTGCAGTCTTGGTGATTATTTCAGGTTTTCAAAGAGTGTGCGTGATGACTTTTCTTGCTTTATAGATGCTAGATGGTTGTTTTTTAATTAGTATGTTTTAAAAATAAAACCCTATAAACAATTAATGGCAAAACAGAATTAGACTTGAAGATAAAGAGAGAATAACCAAAATGTCCTTCTCTTTATATAAAATAACATTTTTGTTTTTTTAAAAAAATAGTATTTTTGATTGGCGCAAAAAATTTAAAAAAAAAGTGTATGCTTGTTGTATCCTGAACTAGTCTCTGTATTGTACCTTGGACCGATCCAATGTTTATGCAACAGATCACGTTAACTCGAATATGTGCTACTGTGGATCAATGTTTTACTTCCATTAGAAAGATTTTCTGGAGAGCATGACAGAGTTTGTTACCAAAATAAAACTATTAAATTAATGAACAAATGCATAATGTATTTTCCACAAAAAATAATTAGTTTTTTTTTTAAATTTCTGCTTTCTGTTATAATAAAAAATTAAATAAAAATTTAAAATGTTCTAAGGTGCAATATTCTAAGGTTCAATACTTAAACAGCTCTAAACTACTATTTATGGTTCAGTACTCAAACATGATAAAACAATTCGTAGTGTGTTAATAACATAATATGCTTCATTTGTCAACTTAAAGATTTTTGAAAATAGAGTAATAAATGTTTTGTTTTTAATTCGGAAACAAAGTCAATTGTTAAGATTTAACACAGTTTATTTTATTTATTTTAGGTTTACACTCCAACGGGCTTTGAGAGATATACGGCAACATACTGTGTTGTAGACTACAGAATTCACTTCACCCTTTGGGACACTTCAGGTATTTAAAACTACTTTTAAATCATTNGTTGTAGACTACAGAATTCACTTCACCCTTTGGGACACTTCAGGTATTTAAAACTACGTTTAAATCTTTTTTTTTTTTTTTACTTCTGAAAAATTACTGATCTTTGTGTTCTTGAAACTAGGTATTTATTATTGTTTATTTCAGTATGATTTTAAAGTTGTTATGCGAAATTATTAATTTTAAAAGAAGTAATGATCACTTTAAAATAATAATTCACAAACACAGTTATGACATATTGTTAAGTTTGTGTATCTATAATGAGATGTGTGTCATTGATGTAAAATTTAAAACTTTGTCATATTTTTGAACTATTCCTCTTCAAAAACAAAATATTTAAAATTTGGAAATAGAAACGGTTAGTCACATAAATAAGTAGAACATAGAACTCTAGAATTCTTTTGTTGAAAGGTTCCTTATACGAACATAAATTTTTCAACACAAAATGTTGACTAACGAAAAGTAATTTTATTATAATTAAATTTTATAAACTTTATGATAAGTAATTTCATTATAAGTAAAGGTAATATATAGTTAGAGAAAGACGGAAATATTTTGCAATCTAAAATTTATAATGTAAAATGTTTAAAAAATACCTTCATCCAGTTCTTGTAGCCATTTGATTTAAAGGAGAAATAATTGTGGTAAAATTACTCCACAGTCTAATATTAATATTTTTCATAAAAAACTATAATTCTGGATAATAAAACCAAAATATACAGCATTGAAATCACTCATTTGGTAATTTTCCATTCATATATTAATGGTTTATCCCAAATTCTAGTTTTCAAAATTAAACTATTACCTCACATTTAATGAAAAATACTAAGCTCAAAATTATATGTTACCAATAAACGTTTTTTATGCCTTTCTTTAAAGTATTAGATAAAATTATCAAATTTTACCACTTTTACCAAATTTTATACCATAACGTCAAACTCTATCTTATTGTTAATTTTTCCAAAATCATTACTGTAGCATTTCAATAAAAATTACCGAATTTTTTGGTGTTCCTACAACGAGAAAAACAAGGTAAATTTCAAATATTATCTGGTAGTTTTGACTATAATTTCTCTCTCAGTGATGGAAACATATTGTATTTTACCGGTTAATAAATAAAAGCTTTACAAAACTCTTTCTTCCAGATCCTATGTTCAGTTGATTTAATATTTTAAGAAGCAGTGCGAAGGAAATATTTTGTAGCCAATAAATAAAAGCTTTACAAAATTCATTCATTCATGTCCTATAGTCAGTTGATTTAATATTTTAAGAAACAGTGCGAAGGAAATATTTTGTAGCTAATAAATAAAAGCTTTAAAAAATTCATTCATTCAAGTCCTGTAGTCAGTTGATTTAATACTTTAAGAAATAGTGCGAAGGAAATATTTTGTAGTCAGTAAATAAAAGCATTAAAAAATTCATTCTTCTTTCTGTCCCGATAGTTTGATCGTTTAATATTTAAAAATTATTTTTATAATTCCACTATTATAGACCATTTTGACGTCAATTACTATTAAAATCAACGTTTTTATGGAATAGCTTTGTTTAGCTCCCATTTTAAAAATCCTCTAAAGCTCTTTTTACTTGTAGTTAAATTCTTTTAATATTTTTTTTACTTCAGATGCATCATATTTATTACAACTAACTGTGCAGTTTACCATGATGAGTGCTTTCCTTATCTTCTAACCTTTAGTGCAATTGCGATATGTTGTTAAATTTTCATGAATGAACTGTGATGCTCAGATTGAAAAAAAATACGCAACACTTGCGAAATCCTTCTATTTTTAGACATTTTAACGATTTGTTACTGCTTAAATAAATTCTTTATACGACTTCCTTTTTACATTAAACAGCTGGTATAGACATGCGGAATATAGTAATTTAAGATGAATTACATTTATTGAATTTATGAATTCTAAGTATTTCAAAATGCGTGCCTATAGATCCTATACAGCTTTACAAAATCATTTTTGAACTTTAAACTTCCGTTAATCCTTTATTCTTCGGCATCTAACAGCTCTCTTATCGGCGCAAATATTTTTCCTCTTTCTATTTTTGAAAAGAAAGATAAACATTTTTCAAGAAATGTTTTATCTGAAGGACAAATCAAATATTTACATATGCGTTAAATAAAATTATTAACGATCCAAATTATATGCGCATATATCAGGGATTGGTTATCAAATATTTTAGATAAGCAACCAGGGGTGTCTCAATTCAAACACCAACATATTTACTTTCGAATATTTTAGGAATCAAACAATAGGAAACAACTGAAAATTCGATAGCAACACTCAATTATTATGCTCCGCATTACAGGAATATGTTGGAATTTTCTTCTGTGCAACTAAAGTTGGAAATAAAAAAAAAATTGTTAAATAAAAAATTACTGGAGTATAAATAGAAAAACCAGAAAACGTGTGATTTAATGCATTTTTTCTTACTAACAATTAGATATTGTTTTGTTTGCGTAATCAATTCCGTAAAAGTTTTGTTTATTCAATTATTTAAACAATACATAAGGTAAATTCGGAACTAAGAATTATGAATTCTGTATCAAAATATTTGAGAATAATAATTGAATTATCTAAATTAAATATTGGACGGTGATGAAAGTAGAGTGCACTTCTGCATAAGTAGATTTTTACGGAGATCTGAATCGGGTTTTTGCATTAATTACGGAAATTTAAGGAGAGCATTTCTTGTATATATATATTTTTTTTTAATTTCCAAAAGCTATTCATTTGTTGTCATTACTATCTTTATTTTCTTGAAGTATTATTTTTAATAAATATTACATTATTAATTTATTTGAGTTAATTATAAATTTTTGAGTATATTATAAGTTATAGACAAATTATTTCACAGTTCAAAATATTTCTTTCATTGCGGTATTTTGTGGCAAATATTTCTATTTAGAAATCAATGAATATAAAATTTCTTCATAGTTCATTTTAAAATGTTTTGTAATGTAATCCGTTTCATATATTATAATTCGCTAACAATTTATTAAAGGTAATATTGCGAAATCCAATGTCAGACATATAAAAACATAAGTGCAAGGAAAACTTTTAATTAAATTAGTTAACTTAAAGATTGCAGCTATACTATATATCTAGTACTTATAATTGAATTCTGGGAGGAAATTAAAACTGTTCTAGATATGTTACTATGTATGTTAAAAAAAATTTTTGACTGAGTGTACCAATACCTTAAAAAACATTACTTCCAAAAATTCTAAATTCTCATAAATATTTAATTTGTTAATAATAAATAATAAATGTTTAATTTATAACATTGAATTGAATTACATTTTTTATTGCTTTAATTTATGCTTACATAAGAGGAAATAATTTATACAGTATAAACAACAATTATTATTACAAAATAAATGTTACCTATAAATATAAGCTTTTCCTATATATAAACTATTTCCATTCCATAAGTAATCGGTAATCGCTTAAATTAAAAAATTTTTAAACGCTATGCAGTTAAACTTGAAACTGATACGCACTAGGAGCAAATCAACTGAATCACATCACAGATTTGGGTATTCGACTATCAATGTTCAACTCCTTGTAATTTTGAACCTTTTTGAACTCTACCCAGAGAAGAAGAGAACTTCTGGATCAAGCATTAGGATAAACTGGCCTTCACGGAGAACTTTTTTCATGGAGCTAAACACGCATTTACGTTACATGACGATGAAAACCACGAAAAAACTTCTTAACTTGTCTTCAAAAACCTAAAAGTTACCTTGACAGCAGGAGAATTTCAATCCATGATTCGCCTACCACTGAGAATATTTGACTTCAGCACTGGGATTACTGCGAGTCGGTGTCAGAATTTAAATCTGCCCAACCATCGCTGAGATTCAAACCTGGATCACCTCATTAATAGCTGAGCACTCTATCCCTTGAGCCACCGCAACTCCACACCACTAATTTCTAAATTTTTATTTTTCGTTAACAGCCAGCTCAATTTTCTTTTTACTGATGTTCAACTCCATAGCCTTCTATTTTTCAGCTCTATCAGGAACACAAAGGAATTCCTAGATCAAGCATACGGAGGAATTTGCTTTTCGTGGGAGATTTTTTTTATGGAACTAACCAGTAATTGCTTTACGTGCAGAAGAAAACCACGAAAACTTCCTACATTTAGCCGGGTCAAGGGGACTCCAACTCATGATCCGTCTGCCAATGAGGATATCTTTTGTCAGCGCTGTGGTCGTTGCAAGCTGAGTAAGGTATTGATATCGACCAGATATCGATAGGGTTCGAATCTGGGTGTTCTCATTGAGAAGCGAGTGCTCTATTTCCTGAGCTACAAAGTCATACGCGTCACTTTTTTTATGCTAATTAAATTTCATTTATTTTAGGAACATCCACTTACGATACTGTAAGACCTCTGTCTTATAAAGATGCAAGTGTCTTCCTGCTTTGTTTCACTATAGCAAGTCCAGAAACTCTGGATAGCATAATTAATAAGGTATGACCTTGTTGAATGTGATTTTTTATAAATACTCTATTATATATTTTTTTATCTATGACATTTTTTTTCCTGCACTTATCTGATCGGAAAAACAAATTAATAGTTTCTTAAACAAAAATTTAAATTATGTGGCCACGACTGCAGTAATTGAATTCCACTTTTTTTTCATTCACAGCATAAAAGAACCCAACTCTTTTGCAGCCTCTTGATTTATAGTTCTGCGATTTAAATATCTTTTTAGCATTAATTGTTAATAATTTCAAGATTTCAAGTTTTTTTGCTGTACTTTACTGTAGAGAAAATATTCAAGAAGAAAAGTTTTTTTTCTTCTTTTTTTGTGAAAGTGATACCCTTAACATTTTTTTTTTTGCTTCAGTTCAGATTAAAGTGAAATAATTTTCGATCTTTTAATAAGCTTTAAAAACATAATTTAAAAAATTTTTTAGTATTTTTTTTCCTTGTTACTGTCTTACTTTCTACGAATTTTCATAACACCAATAAATAATAATTATTTTTAGGGTTTTCTTTTAGATTTATCACAAAAAACCAGTAAATTGCGCTAAAAGAAAAAAATAATCAGAGATGCTGGAAGAAACGATAATGTTTCTAAGAATTTTCGTTCCGCTTCGCCAGTTTAATATAGTATCTACAGTTTAATACAAATAACGTTTTGAGGTAATTGATGGTTTTAGCTTACACAATAAACGAAGTCAAAATCTATCGAAATGTACATTTATATTACTAGGAGACATGTTTTCTCTGATTAGCAACCCCTCTAGCGGCCTATGGTTTGATTTTTATTCTTCAAAACCGATATATCACAAAAATAGAGATAATTTTATTTATAAAATATATAATTATTATAATTTTGCATAAGATCATTTTGTCAATATGTAATTTTTAACAAAAGGGATGGTTGCCTGGACTTGAAAACTAATCAACTGTACTTGAAAAATAACCTAAACTTTGAAATAATCGAATGTGTAACACAATAATTAGTAATAAATTGGAAGTAATTTTACTTGGTAACAATCCGTAATGATAACCTATTATTCTATAATAGTTAAAATTGAAAACAATTTTTATCTTTCTTGAATTTTTCTATGCTTAAAAATTTCGATATAAATATGATTTATATCTAGCAACATCAAATTTTTTCCTTTAATTTTTTACTTTTATAAATTCCTTTCTTTTGTTGTTACGTTTGACATCAAGTAAGGCACGACTTTATAAAATTTCCAGAGAGATTAATTTTTTGACAAAGTAATCTTAATTTAAGGCAAAAAAAGTTAAAGCAAAATCCCGAAAAAAACCCACTTAACTGTAATATTTTTCGAACAAATTGAAATTTCTGAGAACAAATGGAAAAAAAAAACTCCTGTTAAGTTGATAATTAACAACAAAATAATTAAATATTAAAATTTCATTTATAAAAATTTCAGCTGCAATTTGAATGTTTCTTGCACATAAAGCTTAAACATCAGTGCTCTTTCCGATTTAGAACATAAAATAAAAAATAAAACATTGAAATTTAATCTGCAATATATTCCAGCCTGTTACAAATGCTCAAAAATGTTCAATTAAGAAAACAAGTTATATCAAATGGTAAACATCACAATTTTTGTAACCTACGTTTCTGTTACCAAGATGTAGTTATCAATTATTTTTCTATATTATTATTTTTATAATTTTAAAAAATAAAATAAAAAGTTTCCCTCTATTACTATTAAGGGATAAAAAATGGAAAGTTTTTAATTTAATATTTTATATTTCAAATTAATGTTAAAAATGTGTTGCAAAGCTCACACTCTATTGAAATTTACGCAAATATTTTTTAACAAAAAATGCTTTAAGTTAAATTATATAACGAAATAAAGTTTAATAAAAAGTAGGTAACCGAGGGGAATGATCACAATAGATCTAAATTTTAAATGTTCTTTCGTTGCAAATTATTGAATTTTAGTCATACAAATATTGATATCTACTTATATTTCTTTTAAAAAACTTAATATGAAATGAAATACTAAAAGTCAACAAATTAAAGTTGGAAGAAATCTTCCTCGTACTGCTATCAAACATTAAGCTTTAAGAAAACATTAAATTTTTTGTCAAAATGTATTTGTTATTTTCATAGTTTAAATTTAATTAGAAATCTTAGCACTTTTATAATTAAAAAACAAAGCTAATTTTTAACTTAAAACAATCTACATTTTTAACTAGTATTATGGTAACAAAAAGGAAGTATAAGAGAGGAGAAAATAGCTGTAAGTCGTTCTGTAAGTCAACTGCAACATTCAGGCAAATTGATAAGCTTCAATTGAAAAGAAGTACTAAAGAGCATAATTTGATCTTATCATTAAAAAAAATAAAATTAAACCATTAAAATATTATTCATACCTTGACAAATTTCTTAGATTTTATTTATTTTCTTAGAACTTAGCAAATACAAAGGAAATTTTTTAAATGGCTATATTAACTAAAAAATAAATAAATCCAGTGAACCACGTGACCTATTTTTGATTATTCAACAGGAATAATTTGCTACTATGTGATTTTTTTTAGCTTTCTATACATTTATATTCTTTTAATTTAGCTTAAATAGTAATTTGTTACTCTTATTTGATGTGATTTCTTTTACTTCCTTTCTGATAAGATTTCTTATAATATATGTAAGAGGGTGATTACAAAACACCCTGACTGCATAGTGTGTGTGCATTTAAAAAATTTCAAAATTAATAAATAAGGCAGATAAATTCATCAAATAACCAAATTTTAGATCTAATAGCATTATACTTTGTTATGTTTGTAGTGGTATCCTGAAATTCAACAACACAGCCAAAACATTCCCATAATTCTCTGTGGCTGCAAAAGTGACCTTCGAAACGACGCAGAAACCATGTGCGCCTTGGCTAAACAGAAAAAAGTGCCTGTTACAGCAGAGCAGGTAATAAATGGTTTAAGTTTGTTTATGTTTTTGGAATGGATCAAAAGGAGATCTAGAAACAGAACTAATGTGACTTTGAAAAATAAATTTAAGAGATTTATTTGGTTGGTTGGTTGGCTCTAATGCCACTTGCCACACGGGCAAGCCTGGTTGGTGAAACCGAGCAAATTTAAGGCAGAGTGTGCGATTCTTGTTTTTCAGTGGCGCAATCTATGGTCAATAATTCAACTTCTGCCACGTCACACCTGTTTATAAGGCGGACCCATTCAAACATCTATTCATTCATCCACAGATCGTAATTTTGACCTGAATCAGAGAGCGATCGACCTCTAATCCAGTATCCCCAGAGGCATTGATTTATTATGGGAACATGAAGGACTTTGCGACTCGACAGAATTTTAACGTGCATCAGTCACCAACTACAACTTCGGCCCTGTGGGGTTTGAACCCATGAACTCTCGGACATGAGTCCAGCGTCCTACCGACCAGGTTATCCCGGCCCCAAAGAATTATTTAGATCGTTTTATGGGAAGATAATAAGCATGTAATGTAATTTATGTTTTAATCAGGGTAAAATATCACACTTCTTGAGTGCAAGATCTTGAATCCGAAACACTATGCCTTATGAAATAACTTTTATTCTAATGATCGGAATTTCTCGTTCTAAGTGCCAATTTTAAAAAGCTCAAAGGCTTCACCTCTAATGTATTAATTATCTTTGAAGACTATTATCAAATGGAATAATAAGAATTGTAATTATCATTTTTTCAAGGAATTTTCTATAGAAAAATGAATGTGCTTACATTATTCATTATGCTTTAAAAGATTTATGATCTTAAAAAATTATATTTACTGCTCTCTTGACGGACTTTTTTGCTTCAAGATATGCTTAAACTTTTTGCATTGTATATAAATTATACGAGTACACTTTTTCTTTAATTTCTCTCCCTCCTATCTATTTTATCTACTTTATTTTCATTTTATTGTTGTTTTGCCAATCTTATTATTTCTACTGTCGTATTATACTTCTTTGAATTTCTTTAAGCCGGCTGCGACAGAAAGTTTTTAAAAAATTGTTTTGCATTATTTGGGTGGTTTTAAAAAAGGAATAACAAAACGTTTTATAATAAAAGAAAAGCTAAACACCATTTATTCAAGCTCTTTCAACTTTGTGGCTCGCAAATTTAAACTCATTTTTATCATTTAGTTTTAATACAAGAATTTGTGTAAAATTTTTTTAAAAAAAGATAAAAGAATGGTCTTTTATATAATGTGTATAAAGTAAGCTTAAAATCTAATCGATTATCATGAGTTTGTTAAACATTATTGTTAAACTGAAATGCATTTCTCTATCAATGTATTCGGTTTTTGATTTATTTGATAGCTTGTTTTATGTGAATTGAGTAAATTTCAAAATTCCTTATTTTTCTTTCAAATGTGCGCAACTTACAAAATATTTTCTTATGTTAGATACTAGTAGCACTGTTTTTATTTATTTTTACTTATTTTAACAATAATTTATCAGATACTCTAATTTTACCGTATGTTAATTACTTCTAGTGATTTCTATTATATTAGTACTCCCATGCAGAAGTTATGGATATTTTTGAAGGAAATTCTTTATTTTCGGATAATTATGCTTCCAATTTAACTACAAATGAAATTTAAATACATTCTTTAAGACTTATACAATAAATGAATAAGAGAACCAGAAATACATTTCGAGTACACGTTAGTTGTTTCTTACCACGTTTTTTATTTTAAAAAATTCGTTGTTAATAAAGATGTCCAAGCCAGAGATGGAACTGTATCACTGAATGGAATAAATCAATCAATCGTCATTTGAGCCCATTCGTATTGGACAATTCATAGTTACATCCCAATAGAAATGTATTCCAATTGGTTGTTATCTGTAACTGATTTATCATTGTCAGATTACTAGTGGACAGGTAAATGAAGTGGCGTCAACTTAGACATTTTTATGCTATATAATAAAATTATCATAACTATAATCATTGCAAATGGAATGGGCACCTGAAGGTTACGCGATTTTCACACTCTCCACACTTTTTCTCTCACCATTATTACAAAAATCGTGCTTTTATTCCCACGGAAGTACGTTTCAATAAGAAGTGGGGATATACTGGCATTAAAAGCTAGATTTGTGGAAAAAAGCTATAATTGCAGATAGTATACACCGAAGAGCCATTACATTATGATCACCCTCCATCCGTAACAATGGGCTCGCCCAGGTTTTCATGGTTTCTCCCCCAGGAACAATGTTTTCATGGGGCACATTAGGACCTATAATCCTCATAGAACAATCCCTGTCGTCTGTAAGCTACTTGAACATAGTTGCAGACCAGTTTCACCCATTCATGGCAACATTTTTTCCTGCGGGGGATGGTGTCTACCAACAGGATAATGCACCATGTCATAAGGGTCGAATCGTCATGGATTGGTTCGAGGAACATTCCAGTGATTTTCAAGTCATGTCTTGGCCCCCAAACTCACCTGACCTTAATCCAGTAGAGCATTTGTGGTCCGACTTGGAAAACCAAATTTGTGCTGCCACACTACCCCCTCGCAATGTGAGGGAATTGTAGGACCAGTTGGTGAGCACTTGGTAACAGATACCTCAGACTACCTAACAGCACCTTGTGGAATCAATGCCACGGTGGGTGCTAACAGTTTTGAGGGCTAAAGGTGGCCCTACATGTTATTAACAGGGTGGTCATAATGTAATGACTCTTCGGTGTACAATGAAAAGGAGAAAAGTGCTGAGAGTGGGGAAATCTCGTATCCTTGAGGGGCCTGTTCTATTTTCAAAGAATATAATTAGTTTTTTCCCCCCTTGTTGTTGGGCGTATCTGTTTGCGACTGGGTGTATCAATAATTTTTAGCCTACACAAGAAAAAGTATTGTTTAGAAAAACAGATTTTTAATTTTCATTAAGTTTGTTTTTAATATAACACTATGATAACATGACATTTTTTTTAATTCGCAGGCACTTGGTGTATCGCGCCAAATTCACGCCACAACGTACGTAGAGACATCTTCGAGGGCATCCACGCTTAGCGCCCGAGAAGCATTCGAGATATCAGCGTTGGCTGCCTTAGGGAAGCTTAACAAGAATCATATACTACGCAGCGCCACAGTATCCCCACTCTCTACAATAAACACGAGAGGAAGCAGATACAAAAACAAAGACGTTATAAAGGATGATCTAAGAGACAGAACGCGAAATTGTTCACTAATGTGAGATATAAAGTGATGCCGCCGTGTCATATTTCGTACCCAGTCGAAATATTCAAAATGATACAAATACAGTGGATGAGATCATTCACAAAGTGAATTTTAAGTTATCGTTTGTTTTTGAAAAGTTAATTCTAAATGGTACGTTTGTTTTTAATTTTAAATAGTATATTATTACAGAGTGTTTCACAATAAATGGTTTTTTATTTTCTTCAAATATTAAAAATGAAATGTTTTAAAAGTATAGTTCAATGAACTTATTGTTTTAAATCCAAATAACTATTACATTAATTATAAATTTACATATAGTAATATAACCAGTTCTGGACCGTTATCACATTTATGTGATGCCGTGATTCATCCCTGACTGCCCACAGTATCATTTGAGACGAACCTTATTGATTTCAGCGACCCATGCTCGCACGGAAGGGATCACATTTACGTGGTGTCGTGATTCTTCCCTGACTGCCCACAGTATCATATGAGACGGACCTTATTGATTTCAGCGACCCATGCTCCCACGGAAGGGATCACATTTACGTGGTGTCGTGATTCTTCCCTAACTGCCCACAGTATCATATGAGACGGACGTTACTGACTTCAGCGACCCATGCTCGCACGGAAGGGATCACATTTACGTGATGTCGTGATTCTTCCCTGACTGCCCACAGTATCATATGAGACGGACCATATTGATTTCAGCGACCCATGCTCGCAAGGAAATCATCACATTTACGTGATGCCGTGATTCTTCCCTGACTGCCCACAGTATCATATGAGACGGACCTTATTGATTTCAGCGACCCATGCTCGCACGGAAGTGATCACATTTACGTGGTGTCGTGATTCTTCCCTACCTGCCCACAGTATCATATGAGACGGACCTTACTGACTTCAGCGACCCATGATCGCACGGAAGTGATCACATTTACGTGATGTCGTGATTCTTCCCTAACTGCCCACAGTATCATATGAGACGGACCTTACTGGCTTCAGCAGCCAATGATCACACGGAAGTGATCTCAAATTAGTACTCGTGTATTACATCTTGTATTAGTACGTATATTGCTGGAGTGTGCGAGCTTGGGAAACCGTTTTTTTCTTCTTTAGTCGGTCCTAAACGGGTTAAAATAGTTAACTGGTGTTAAATCTAAAACATATACCTGAAATTATTTTTCGCAAATTAGAAAATTTAATTTAATTAGCATGACTTACATATGCGAATAAATTTTGTAACAAATAACACGATACTCTTCGGTATTGTGTTATTAAATTAGCTGCATTTTTTACATTTTCTTTAGAATTCCATTATGACTTCGTATATTTGAAAAATATACGAGGATTGTCTGTCAAATTTATGAAAAAAATGGTAAAATATAAAATTTAATTGTCAAGAGAAACGATAAATTTGTAAAGAAAGAAAAAAAAATCTTTAATATACTTCATTGTCTGAGATTATACTTTTGGACATAGAAGCAACAATCAGACATAAAAGATATAACACGCGGCAAGGGAAAAAAAACTCAAATTAATTAAGAAATTAAGAAATTTACGAGAGCAAAGTGTCAGTAATATAGCAATATTCTTTGTAAATAGAATAGATGACTCAAATGTACACGTATTCTCGTTTCTCCACACATTTTCCCTCTCCGTTGCCATAGCTTCACTAAAGTTAACTTTTTTTTCTACAGCAGTACGTTTCAGCAGGGAAAAAGTATGGTTTGAGGCTAAATTGTGGAGAGTAGAGATATCACATATTCTATTTACAAAGAATGAAGCATTTTCCAAAACGTTTATCTAAAAAGTAGAAAATGACGTCAAAAAAGAAAAAGAAAACATGAGATGTTGTATGTATTCGCTCTTGAAATTTTTTATTGCACTGATTCATAGATTTGTATTAAAGTTAAATTGCCACTATTGTGAAACACTCACTTTGTTAGTTTTCTGAAAAATGGGCATTGTTTTAAAAAATCAAAAGAGAAGGAATAAGATTTTAGTTTATAAAAAATATTGTTTTTAGCAATATACACTATCTACCAATAAGTATTTGGACACGTGTGATTGAAATGGAAAGCAAATTTCATTCATAATCAATAGTTGGTTGAGCCTCCACGAGAGGCAATTACAGCGTGAACCCTCCGGGGTATACTTTCACAAGTCCTTGTGTGACGGCTAGTGGTATTTTCTTCCACTAGGCTTGGAGAAGTCATGTAAGTTCCTTCACCGATTTTGGTCAGGTAGTGCACCCCTTAATTCGGGGATCCAACTTGTCCCAGAGGTTCTCGATAGGGTTCAGGTCTGGGCTTTGGGCAGGCCAGACCGTTCGATTAACCCCATTGGCACCATACCAAGCCTTGATGACCCTCGCAACATGAAAGCTGGCATTGTAGTCCTGGAAGTAACAGGGGCCCACCCCGTAAATTCGCCACAACGTAGAAATTACATTGTCATCCAAAATAGTGCAGTAGGCATCTTGTAGGGACTAATGCCGATGTTGTTCCCTTCTCGATATATACTGGAGGAGGGCGTGACGTATCTCAGGACCGCAGATATAGTCATTAGCATAGGTGTCCAAATACTTATTGGTAAATAGTGTATTACTTGTCTTCAAAATGTATTTTGAGCCTTCAACCATGCATACTTTTTTAATTAAAAAAAATAATAGGAAACCAATTTCTTGATGTCAGAAAAGGCATCAACTTTAAGTTCATGAAAGAGCCGGTACTACTGCTCAGAGGAATTTTAATAAATCCAATTAAAATGGAATAGATCCATTTTCTATACCAGTGAAATGCCTCTCCGAAAAAGTTTTCCTGAACATGAAAATAACAATGTCTCTATTTCATGGAAAAAAAGTGTACATTAATTGCTTTCAAGAAACATTGCTATTATATACTTAATAAAGTTAGGAACTATTGATACAAATACGTGTTAAGACCTATTGATAAAAATACGCTATTATTATAGAGTAAAATTAAAAACCTTGTTTTTTAACAAATCAATAAATATTTAAATCACATTTTTAAAATTCTACTTTGCTTTAAATTTAGAAAACACTTCTCAATCTATCATTTTATTAAAAATTATATTTCCTTACTAAAATTCGAATTCAAGAGGACGAAATCTTTTAGATGCAGCGTTGAAAGAAAAATTAAATATTCATAAAATATATCTTTAAATGAACTCTTTTTGGAACTTGGAACAACATATCTAAAACTTCATCAAATAATTTAGAATGCAAAATACCTGTTAAAGGATTTAGTGGAACTTGTTTCTTTAATATTATAGAAAAATGTCTTAAGATCAGGCAAAACGTTGTTCATTTAATAACTAAAATTTATTAAATCATTTAATATTAGCAATATAATTTGAGTTTTTGAGTAATTCATCATTAGCGTAAATAAAATTTTGCTGAGTGCTCATAAATATTTTATTCTGTACAAAATTGCCATGAATTCTAAACAAAAATAATACAAGAATCAGAATTTCTGTGCTATATTTAACAGTTTAACACGTAACTGAAAATACATGTTTTAGATAAGAGTTTCATTGATAAAAAAAAATTAAAATACAAAATTAAAAATTCTGTTTTGAAATTTTTTTAATTAAATTAATATATATAATTAATATTTATTTATTACTATTAATTTTTAAAAATTAAATTACAATGAAAGTCGTTTACAATATCATTTCATAAATTTTAAATTTGTCTCAGAAAAGCACAGAAATGCAGTTAGACATTGTTATTATTCTAGAAACTCTGTTTCCGTATATATATTAGATAAAATAAAATGTTCAATTTATACTCGAAGCGAAGCTACCCTTTAAGCAATGACAGCATGTGCAATGATTACCGATGCAATGACAGCAGCTTTACATTGATCTAATGATTTCACTAAATAACGCCTATTAACGCTAAATGTGGCGACTTTTTAAAATTAAAAATAATTTATATTCATTAGATTCAATTGGAATTTAAAGCTTTTACTGAATATGAGTCAAATATAAATCTATATTTGCTATTACATTTAGTCCGATTCACTAAAGTCTATTATTTGATAGAAGTAACTTGATACGCTTAAATCATTCAATGTCAGCAGCATAACCATCCATTATAAAAACTCAAAAAATTTAGCACTGAGAAGTACTAAGACGATAAAAAAGAATGGTTGTGATGAATAGGAAAAATAGTCTTCTTAAAAACCCCATTATTGTGATAAGCCAATATTAATGAAAATTATTCTTCTTATCATCTACTTCAAGGTATTTGGGGAAAAAGAAAAAAAGTTGAAAATATTTAAATTCATAAAAATAATTTTGATTGAAGCATCGAACTGTGATGAAATTATCTGTAGTTTCAAAATACATGTGTATTTCTACTGTATCTTTAAATATATATATAAATCTTTAATAAATATGTGAACTGGACAAATTAAAAATGCAAAATATGAAGAAGGGCTGCAACAAAAAGATCTGATTCAAAGCATGCCAATAATTTCATGCCTTTTTTTTTAAACAGGATGATTTTTCTTTATGCTTTCTCCAAAGTGTTTTTGAAATTTTATTCATCATCTGAATTCGAAAGATTTTTATCATTAAATTCTTTATGATTACAACTATTCTTATTAGTAAAATCAGTATTTGTTTGCTTCCTATCTTCTGAAAAGATTAAAGGAAATATTGATGAAAACTATTTTGGTGAACTGAAACATTACATATCGTAGTATAAACAATACTTAAAGGTTTAATTTGCTGTGATTTACAGATCTGATCAGATCTGCGTTAGAGATTAAGACGAACTATTTTATTACCATTTGCTTACTTTTTATTTCTTTTTTTATTGGATTTTTGTTTTACTTCTGTGCAAATTACTCTTTGAAACTAAGAACATGCCCATTTTTGTCAGAACCGTGACTAATACCATTACATCAGAATGTTCATGAAATAATTGTATTTATATACTCAATGTTGATTTTCAATACTACATTAAAAAATTTATCCATTTATAAACACCAACTTTAACTGATATATAATTTTATTCAAATAACTACTTTAATTTAAACATTTCAAATTTACGTTATTTTTCATTGTTATTTTCATTCATTTGATTTTAAAGATGGATGATTTATAAAATGAAATTTTATGCTCAGGGATACCTTAAGAGCATATTAATTGTTATAATATATTTTCGTGAAGTGACTGAAAAATGTTGTTGTAAGAATTCATAACATACTTAGTCAATATTGATCTTGAGAAACATTGCCAAAAGTTCAAAATTCAAAACTCATCGTCCATATGCTATTAACCCTATGATTATTTTGCATCTTTCTGGCGCAGACCTTCAATATGAACTTTCATTTTTTTTCATTTTTTTCCTTTCCTTTATTCAAGGTATTTAACAACTGAGCTTGCTCGACTTTTTCGAGAGGATTGAACACATGAGTTATTAAGCTCTAGGTTTTTGATTGCATTTTGACGGAGTGGGAAAGGGATGGAATGCTTAATGATTTATGTGGGTGTAGCTTTCTTGTTAGGAGTTTTCTAGAAAGCATTTTGTACGTTTAGGGTCAGTTTTGATATTGCTTTTATTTAAATATCACGCACATTTTATTACAGCATATGCATTATTACATTATATTATTATATATATAATATGCATTATTATATGCATTATTATATATATATTAGGCACTATGATAATTAATAAAAAATTGTAGCGCATTTAAATGTGGTTTATATGAATTTTTAAATGAAAACAAAACTAAATGGAAAAAGTTTTTTATTTTATTTCCAATGAGCTGCACAATCAGTCTTCTCGATGAGAAGACCTAGTGCGTTCCCCAGAAGTGGTATCCACTCTTTCAGGACCACCACAATGGGTGAGATACCGTTGGCCATGTTAATTTGGACGTCTAGTTTCTACCACACTAGATGGCAGCACCGAGACTCTATTTGGATGCAAATGGAAAAAGTGCGTGCGTAAACTCTCGGGGTGCACTGGGGAATCCCTTCTTCCTCCTTTCACCGATCCTGAACTAGATAATTATGTTTTACAATGAAATTTGCATATTTATGCGAACAATGCATGGACGGATAAGATAACACGCATATATTTTACAGTGAGATAATCTTAATTAATTTATGGAGTTTAAACTTTTTGCATGCGGATTTACATAGGCTACAGCTTATAGATGTAAACCACGTAGCTTAGTGCAGTTCTTAGAACTTTATTAACTTTCAAGCAGAGTAATTAAATTTTTTTACAGTAATAAGTTTAACATTGATTTTAAATGGGTCCAAGTAGAATAAAATGTAATAAATTATTTTTTCAACTAAATAAGAAATGAGATATACTTTTGCATTTTGAATTAACTGTTGTAAAGCGTGTTCTTATTTCCATAGAAAAAATGCTAAAATGGCTGGTTTGGTGTTCGAAGCTTTATAAAGTCAATATCTCCTCAATATCAATACATATAATGCTGAGTCAGATTTAGTTATGAATTTTTAAACTATTAACTCAGAAAAAGAATTTTTCAAAATTAAAAATCTTTGTTGCATTTTAAGAAACTTTAGCTTTAACAAGTTATATCAATTAAATAATAGAACAATATAAGGGTAAATTATAAAATATAAAATGTTATTTCCAGAGTATTATGAGAATTTGTTTATTTGGCAATGNAATAAAATAGAACTATACTTTCAGGACCACCACAATGGGTGAGATACCGTTGGCCATGTTAATTTGGACGTCTAGTTTTTACCACACTAGATGGCAGCACCGAGACTCTATTTGGATGCAAATGGAAAAAGAGCGTACGTAAACTCTCGGGTTGCACTGGGGAATATCTTCTTCCTCCTTTCACTGGTCCTGAACTAGATAATTATGTTTTACTATGAAATTTGCATATTTATGCGAACGATACATGGACGGATAAGATTACACGCATATATTTTACAGTGAGATAAACTTAATTAATTTATGGAGTTTAAACTTTTTGCATGCGGATTTGTATAGGCTATAGCTTATAGATGTAAACCATTTAGCTTAGTGCAGTTTTTAGTATTTTATTAACTTTCAAGCAGAGAAATTAAATTTTTTTACAGTAATAAGTTTAACATCGATTTTATATGGGTCCAAGTAGAATAAAATGTAATAAATTATTTTTTCAACTAAATAAGAAATGAGATATGCTTTTGCATTTTAAATTAACTGTTGTAAAGCGTGTTCTTATTTCCATAGAAAAAATGCTAAATTGGCTGGTTTGGTGTTCGAATCCTTATAAAATCAATATCTCCTCAATATCAATACATATAATGCTGAGTCGGATTTAGTTATGAATTTTTAGACTATTAACTCAGAAAAAGAATTTTTCAAAATTAAAAATCCTTGTTAAATTTTAAGAAACTTTAGCTTTAACATAGTTTTTATAAAGATATCAATTCGACACGATGAAATAATACAACAATATAAAGGTAAATTATTAAATGTAAAATGTTATTTCCAGAGTATTATGAGAATTTGTTTATTTGGCAATGAACTTATTATCCATATTGATCTAGGTACAAATTTTTAAATGCCTGCGTAGATATCTTCGTTGTCGTGAACATTATATCAGTAAATATTGTAGATGTGTTTGTTCCTTAATGACTGTGAATCAATAATTGTTATATTTTTGGACAACATACAAAAGGCTGAAACGGAGTTTTAGGCAATGGCTGTTTCTACTAACAATAAATGAAATATCAATAATCAATGAAAATTATGTAACCATGAGTAATTCAGTTTTAAACTATCAACCAGTATTTCTGATTTAAGCCCGTGCACCAAAATGATACTTTATTTCAATGCAATCCTTGTTTAATCATTAAAATTAAATAATAAATAGTTTATATAATTTTTATCATAGCTCACTGTTCAAATTCACATCAAATTCATTCAATTCAAATTCACTGTTCCATAAAACAAAAATCGATGAAATAATATACTTGAACACGCCCGATGCATGCAAAGGCTATAATTGGGTGTGCTCTTTTCTTTTTTACATGTCCATCCGAACACGTAAATAATAAATTAGAAATAAGCCTAAAATACTGAGTAAACACTGTCTCAAATTATGATTATAAATAAAAATTTAAGAATTTTTTTTTCTTCCAATGACCACCTGGGGAATGACATTTCCTCAATACAGGCATCTGAGCTGCAGATTTGTTGGCCACTCTTTCAGGGGTACCATATTAGGTGGGCCAACGTTGCTCCCACAGTAAGGACAGATAGTACAAAGAATAAAAGAACATCCATGTCCTGTCCGGGATTCGAACTCAGAACCTTTCTGATAGAAGATCAGTTCCCTTACCTCAACACAGATTGGTCAGCCGAAAAAAAATTTAAGAAATAAAAAGTTGTTGCCACTTCACTGGTATGTGTCTAATATCAGAATTTAGTGGTAAGAAGAGCATAGTCTTGTCATCGAGACCGTGGTAGGGAATCCAGCGGCGTTATGATATTTAGCAATAGATTCATTATTATTATTGCTTTGTGATAAGTTAGGTTTTTAATGTATGAAAGGGGAACAAAAAGAAAATTTAATCACTGTTCCAAAG